TGATGGCCGAAGCTACAAGCAAGCCAGATTTAAGATGCTGTTTTTTTGCCGAGGTGAAAATTAAAAGTGCGACAACTCTCTTAATTGTATATAATATTCAAAATTAAAATGTTTTTGTTAATGGCACACGCTGCTAAAATAATCCAAACACATGATTGACATTATTATAATAAATCAAAAATTATTTTTGAAATTCTGTTTTAAACTTTTAACAACTGAGTACACGAAAAAATAGCATGTTCAATGCGTAAGAAAAGTGTGTTTTCCATGCTCGTGTAAAAGTTAATTAACTCTGTTCGCTTGTTAATTAGACCCTCACTGGAAATTACTACTTATTAAACAAGAATTGTGAAACATTTTATAGTATTATTTAATAAAATTGCACAAAATTGCATGATGAAAGGATTACATTTTAAGTGCACAAAATCAAGATAAATTAATTCCCACATTATTAAAACATTTGAGCTCCTAAATTCACTCTGCTAAGGAGGCATGACGAATCGTAAAGTTCAAGCGTATCGAACAATATAGTGGCAGCTTTATTAGCTTAAAAATCTAACATGCAACACAATACAGTTCTTATTAATAATAAAAAACAGGTCTAAGGTTATTTAAACAAAACTTCCCTCGTCTCTGAAGTACACTCCCCTAATCCAGCTTTTTCGAAAAATTAAAAAAAATGATTTTGCGAAATTTGATTTATTTTAGGGTAACCTCTGTTCCTGAGCGTACTGTAATCGAGTCCGTCAGCCGACTCTTTACGTTTACGTTTTTTCGACTATTCATGACCTCTTGAGTACGAAGAAATAGGTCTCCCGATTTCGTGTGTCTGTCCATCTGTCTGTCTGTCTGTCTGTCGTCCCGGATTATTATTAGACAGATAAAAGTATTGGGTCGATTGTTGTCAAATGTTGTATTTATATTAAAAATATCATGTAGATGGGAAAACGATAACCAAAATTTGTCTGATCATCCCCACCAATAATGTGATGACGTCACTTCAAAATTGCGCACAGTAAATGGGTTTTAAATTGTATGACATACCATACTCCTACAGATGTTTCGAAATCTTGCAAATGTTTTAAAGTTATGATAAGTATAATGAATTCTTAATCAAAATCGACATAAATAAACACTTGAGCGTCAGATTGGTATTACTTAGTGTTGAAGGACAAGGGTTGTTAGAGATCAAGGTTAGTTAATAGAGAACAGGTTACCACATAAACGAGTATGTGGGCAAAATCGCTTACGGGGGAGGAGAGGTGTCAGCCCCATGTGACGTCAAAATGAGGTTGGTATTACTTGGGAATTTTTAGTAACTTGTAATTTTGAGTTGGTGTGACCGATCAGCTGATGCCTTTAATCTGTACGATCTGTACCGCTAATTCTGACGTTTGGTGTTAGTACTGCGACTCGTGTAACCCTATTTTGCCTTAAATTAAATTTATTTGTGTTTAAGCTAAAATGAAATGTTTTGATTATTACTAGAAAGGAAAAAGTAAATCAGTAAATGCAGATTTTCAGATTTTTTTGCATAAAAAAAATCAGTTAATAGTGTCGCATTTGTTATTTTCAAGTTCTACTGGCAGCAAAACATTTTTCTTGAGGTTTATTAAATTGTTCTTTACACAGGATTGAAATTTGCGAAGTAGAAGCGGTCACTTGATTAAAAGTTTCCGTTTTTAGTGCGTTACTCGAGTATTTAAAACGGGCAATTTTCGCGCCATTTGAGAGCCCCTTGTGACGTATCAATATGGCATCCCAATGTGGCAACCTTATCTATTAAATGACTTTGGTTAGAGATGGATTATTTTAAGTTCAACATGGTGAGTCATCAGAATCTGACGAACTGTCAGTCAGTAGCGTAACATGCACACTTCAGAAGGGGATGATTTTGAAATTAATTTTTTTAAATCGCAAACAATAACACGGAGAAACAAACTTAAGTGAACTGGTCAATACGCTAGCACGAATGCGGATGAATCTATTAGGCACTAATCTAAACAGGTACAGATAGCCATCACAGCGAGAAAAGTTCACTACGACAGATAAACGATGACGAACACCTCTGAGGGTGTGCCCATTCGAAAATTCTGGATATGTATCATTGTACTTCAGGAGCGAGGGAAGTTCTGTCAAAACAACTTTCGACCAATTTTTTTAGGAAATATGTCAGATAGTGAACTATCTCCTCCCAAGATGCTGTTATGGCAGTTAGCACTTTTACATTCCTCGTAAAAATAATTAAAAAAATTCGGTAATAATGGCCAACTTTCGTTTGTCAGGCATTATATAACCTCAATCTTTATTATAGACCTTGATCAATAATAACTTCACTTCCATTATTATTAACCTTGGTCAAATTTAATTATCATTATTGACTTTGGTAGAGAAAAACTCACAGACAAGTATGATAATAGTGGATTTTTAGAGTACTAGAATCTAGATAATTGCGGCCGAGGGAATGCAATCTAGATGAAACAAAAAAAGAGCGTTCGACTCCGAGTGATGTATACTATTTTTTCTTCAAGCATTTTAAATAAATTTAAAATAGAAAATATTTTCTTTTTATTTATTTTGCCAAGTAATGTTAAAAATACAGAATTGTAATGTGTAGTTTTGAATAATTAATTCACTGCTAGCTGTTCCACTATAGATATACATAATTTTGTTGGTCTGTCCGAAGACAGGATTGCCGAAGGTTCATTCATTATTGAAACAATTAAAAAAACATAACATTGAATTGCGTTCTTAATGAAACCTGTAAATACCCACCTTTCTTGCTAAATAAATTTGATTTTGGGCTTCATTCAAAAAGTCATTAAATTGTTTTTTTGTGAACACTTTAAATTTTTTGGGACGATAACCTTTGTCCGGTTGCTTTAAAAATGCAAGCCATTTATTATATTTTGCGATGTCCACATTGTATTTAACATTTAATTCGGTCTTAATCATTGAGTATTGGGCCCATAGACTGGAACTCTTCAGTTTTGATGCCAGGTGTGTAAAATAGGCTAACATCACGTTTTCTGAGTAGCTAGTAATTGGAAACGTTTTCTTTGTTGCTCCAGCTGAGGAATCTTTCATAGGCAAAATCGTAAATATTGCGTGATGTTGATGGTATCAAAGTATCAACGGTGGAATTGGCAACTTTTGCCAATTCCGGAGGCGTACACTGCATTGGTTCGGATTCGGACATCATTTATAGCTTACTGAAAACGTTTGTTTGCTTGTTTGGAATTTAGTTTAGAACTGTCAAAAATATTATATCGAGACAAAGCAAAGGCATGTAGTTTTTGAAGGTTGGATCGACTCTTTTACGTTGCAAAGAAAAGATAATTTTAACAACAAACCACCTTTTCTGTAAATAGGTATTTTCTAATGTATCATCACCATCAGATATCATCTAGCAGAACTTTATAGATAATAACAAAATAGTATTTTAATAAACAATAGGTGCACAAAGCTTTTGTTTTAAAGAATTTACTGTTCAAAGAACTTAGCCATCCTCCATATAGTCCTGATCTGGCACTATGAATTTTTTTTTTGTTTAGAAATTTGAAAAGAAACTGACGGGGGCAAAAATTTTTGGATTATGATGAACTGGAGAGCAAGAAAAAACAATTTTTTTCTATGGTTTATTTTCATTAATTTCAAAATGTAAAAAATGTATTGAACTGTTAGGAGATTATATTGAAAAATGACCGAAGATTGTTGGTTTATTTCAAATCCTTCATAGTTAGGTACCTTATTTATCAGCTTGTCCTCGTATCTTGAGATTAATACTAAATACAGAGTTCAACAAAAAATCGGTCATTTTTAAGTGTGGCATTCTCCATAGCTCCCTACACTTTAATGTGGATTATATCCTGGATGACGTGGTGTAATGACGTGTAATACGAAATTGTTTTTTTATACTCCTATTTATTTATAATTTGTATAACCCTAATTAATACCAGTCTTGCATTCTGTGTTATTATTATTACTTATTAAAAAATACTATATTGATAACATTTACGTTTCGTACCATGTGCAATATATTATGTGATAATATTAACACATTTGTGGTATTATAGCGGAAAAGCAAATATCTTACTATAAAGTCCATTACGAGAAATTGTGCTGAAATATGCATGTACATGTTAGGTCGCTTCAGATACATCAATATTGAATTAGCGAGAATCTCACGTTAAGGTCTAAGTTTTGCATATTTAATAAAACCTTTTACTGTTAGACATGCGAAATCACGTACAAAATACTCAAACATTAATTTTTTGTAGGTCTGTTATATTCAATTACCTAACTATATCACCCGCGAAATGATATTGTTGTAAAAGTTTACGAGTACAATTCTGCCCATAAACGAAAAAATAAACGGTTAACAAATTATGTCCCTTGAATGTTTACGACCACTCTTTAATTAAGGACATATTTCACCCTATACTTGTGCAGATAAGCGCGGACTCTTCAATGGTTCCCAAAGAAAGTGGCACACCGAGTTGTAATGGCAAATTCGTTCTTTCAGAATGTGGTAAGTAGAAAAGCTGATAGCAGTTTTAGCAGACATATTTTTTGCTTGTTACCGTCTCGTTGTAATGGTTTTGAGGAAATAAATGAAGGAGTACAAAATCTCCTCTGAAGCATTCAGCAAAAACGACTGACAAGAATTTAGAGGGATATTTTCGTATTCGAGAATGACACTTACAACTGAACAATCATTGAATAATGAGCAGCATAAAGCAAATTCCAAAATAACTTTCATAATAATTTTTATCTTATTAAATTGACGAAAAACTTAAATTTAGCATTGAACATCAGAGAAAGCAATTTTAAACATTTAATAATTTTATTTTGCCTTACGACAACCTACGAATCTATCTAGGTAATCGGTGGATAATGAATAAAAATCTAATGATAGGATTAATCGTATCTAGGCGCCTTGTGTCACATGTTATCTAATATAAACACACCTTTGTGTTTATTTCTCGAATTATCGATTTTTGTTGTTGTACACGCTAGATAGTGTATATTATAAAATGCCCTTAGAAATACCCACTATCAAGCTTAACAATGGCGTTCAAATGCCAGTTTTTGGGCTAGGCACGTGGCAGGTAAGTTAGTTTCTAACTTTAGTAATTGTGTTATCGACATCTGCATAATTAACTTGATTTCTCCCTAACAACTGGTCATATTTTGCAATATATTTGACGTATACGTTATATAAGTTATCTATTAATTATTGTAGAATTTCGGGTGCTTTAGTTTAGTTTCTACGCTAGACGTAGTCATTGGAGTGACAAGCTGTGACAATTTTATTAAAAAAATATGAATAAAAATTTATAAATTCGACTAAATTTCTATAAATTGACCACATTAAGTTGTATACTGATCAAGGGATTAATATTATTGTAATGTTATTGTGGATTTTTGACAGTGGAATTCCGAAGAATATTTTGTTGCAATTTATGAGTACGGTTGGCTTAAAAAAAGCGATTCAGATTTTATTAATTTTTCATAGTTTGAAACGGCTTTTTAGAATTTAGTGTAAAAAACTGCACTTGTGCAAGAATTGACATAAATGGACAAATTAAATTTTCAATTCACAATATAGGTTGATTATATTTCATTTCCCGTTTTCTTGAAGCCAACCGTAGGGATGCTATAATTAAAAAGTGTGAGTATTTATTTTAAGAGAACTTCATTTTTTACTAGCATAAAAACTACAGATTTGGTGCAACTTCAAATAATGATACTGTATAAGTATGCTGAAGAATTTTTAGTTGTTTTCTCAAAAACTAACACTATCACGAGAGTTGAGACTTACGATGTACTTACCTAGAGTTTCGCAAGCTGAAAATAGTAGTGAAAACCGCGTTTCGAAATTCCTTAAGTAACTAAGTAGTATAATACTCCTACTATAGGTATATCACTAATCTGCTAACCTGAATACATTGTAACAGTTTGTACAACAGGTGTCAGACTCTTTTATTAAAACAACAGAGACTGTGTATTGTAATAAAGTGGCTTTTTACTTCCCGAACGTAAATTAAGGATATATTGTAATTGAGTTCATTGGGCGACTGGTTGCTTTCATATTTTCTAGACAGGTCATGACCCCTACAGTACGAAAAAAAATGTCTGTCTGTCTGCCATCTGTGTCAATTTTTGTTTGACACATAGTCTCCGTAAATACCGGATCGATTATTGTCAAATTTTAAATACGTATTATGAATATTATGTAGATCGTAAAACACCAACCAACCTTTGTCGTATCAGCTTCACCAATATTATGATGGCGTCACTTCAAAATTGTACGTAGTAAATGGGTTTGAAGATTTATAAAATAAAATAATCCTACAGTTTTTACCCGAAACGTCCAGATTTAAAAAAAAAAATTATATAACAACATTTTACAATTTAATTTTGAATCTGCAAAATCGAATGCTTTGAAATCGTAGATATTTTCAACTTATTATAACCATGGTAGATGTTTAGTTAAAATATATTTGCTTATCTCTCCAAAAAAATGACGGCCTTAGCTCAAAATTTGAAATGAGCAAAATATGATGAGGCTATTCTTGTGAGTAGAGAGCGGATTTTATTAAATTTGCATATCCGTAATTTTTTGCATATAAGTCTTGATATTTAATATGTGAACGAATCATGCTAATTAAAAATGAATACAGCAATAAAAAAATTGCATATTTGCATATATTTGCCTTCTGCTGCATATTTCACGTAATGGGTGCATATTTTGTATTTTTATCAATTTTTGTGCTAATTCGAAAAAAAAAAAATGATTGCCATTCTATCGGCATTTATCTAGAAAGACGACATTTCATGAATCATATTGCAAATATCGTCCTGAGCTTCAAATAACTATGAAAGGTTTGGGTTTTATGGTAGTTTGGAGAAACCACTGAGTGTTAAGCCATCCTTCCAGGTAAATTCGCGCCCTAATTACTTTTGGAAATACGTTCAGTCCCAATATTTTTGTTCTTTGCATCAGTGTATTAATGGTATGTTTTGTGGTGGTCCAAGGGACGTTATCCTATTATTTTTCATCGTGAGTTTGCATTGAAAGCGATACAGATGTGTCAATATGTCGAAGATAACTCAAATTAATTTATGGTGTAAACCTTTTCCTAAACTTATTCTTCAAGAAGGAACTGTGTTTTGTCGCGCCTGCTCTAAACCGGTAAGTATTTTTACATCTGTGGACGAAGCAGCAGTTTTTCTATTTACAAATACATACTTTAGAATCACCGGAAAAATTTTTTGTTAGAATATTTCGAAAAATATTTAAAAATAAATTGTTGCAAAAATAGTAATTAAATTAGTCGATTACTACTTAACTCTTTTTTAATTTGTTCTGTCTATACTTATTTTTTAGTATAAGAATATTATCATTAAAAATGTGATTTATGTGTTAGTGAGATGTAATTAAACACTTTGCAAAGTGATTTATGTATTTTTTGTAATAAAACGTAAGCTCGGCAAACCTGTTTTTGTAATTTGTAAATAAATTTAGTTCGCTTATTAATCTTTTTTTTAACTTTTGGAGCATATGCAACTGCACATCTCTGCATATATTAAGAAAGTTACTGCATATTTGCATAAATTTGCTGCATATCATATGATCATATTTCCCAAAATTTTGCTGCATATTTTCCGCTCTCTACTTGTGAGTTATCATTCTATTCATATTTTTTAGATTTGCTGAATAAAGGGTGAATATTAAACAAAAACGAATGAGTCAATTTATTTTATTGATTGCAAAACCGAATGCTTTGAAATCTTGTACTCGGTTTAAAGTTATTTTACCAATGGTAAATTGTTAATCAAAACATATGTGTTTATTTCCCCAAAAAAGTTGATGAGGTTACCACAAAGTTTTGTAAACTAAAATAACTCATTTGAAACACACGCGTAGCATACTTCTTTACATTTACTTCAACATTACATACATACGTTTATTTCAACTCAGGGGTTCTCATAAAATAAAAAATTAATTTCACAACATCAAATTTTATAGTTTTTCGAAAATGTTTCAGGTGCGAGGGAAGTTCTGTCAAAACAACCTTGGAGCAATTTTTTTGCAAAAATCTCAACATGTAAAAATGATTTTACGATCCAAATTTTTGGTGTTTTTTTTTTAATTTGGTAGGAAATAATTATGCAAGCAACACAAAATGAATATAAACACACCAGTTATTGATTAATGAACAAAATTAATTTTGATAAAATAGACCTGTCTGATTTTATTAAGAACTCGATCGTTTTTACCGTTTTCATAAGTTAATATATCTAATAATAAAAATAGTACGCATAATGACATAAACTAATTGCACTACATGATTATTGGGTGAATCTTCATCCAAAATGTAATCATTTAAGGTATTAAACATATTGTAGTAAACTAATGGTTTGAATTGTAATGATGTTAATAATATTCGCTGAAATATGATATTTCATAGTCTTGAACGTGCTTTCAGCCATTTTGCAAACTTTCTCAACATTAATTGAAGGCTTTCTTCGTAAGCATTTAAGTTCACCGCCGTTTTTCTTTCTTATCTACAATTTTGATTTCGTAGATATTTGATCATATCCCTTTATTTTTTAATAAATTATTGAGAAACGTTCCAATACAATTTTCGCCTTGATTGTACTTTCAAATCGGGTTCTTGAAAATCTCTTACACGTGCTGGTTCTCTTTTCTTTTGCCTGAATTTATTATATTTATGATAACAGTCGTTATTCCTACTAGTCAAATTAAAATAAAAAAAAACATTATCACCGCAAAGTGGAGAGAGTAATGCTCGCATTTTCATCTTGGTTCAGACGTGAACGCTCTGTTAAATTAAATTAAAAATAATAAATGATTTATGAAAATATGTTATATATTTTTTCCTCGTTTTTAACTTTCTCTTAATCAGTTTTCTAGGTTATGTTTCGTTTTTTTGTGTTTTGGAAAATTGAAAAAAAAAAAATTAATTCTTCGTTTTTTAGGATTAACAGAATTTATTAATCACCATAAGTCGTTGTTTTTAAACTGTTTGCCACACACATGCAAGAATATATTACTTTCTTATAAACAAATCTGTCGGAAAGCTGAAATTAAGTAATGATTTTCTGTACAAGTATTCCATATATATTTCACCGATGAAATGAAATATTAAGAGCTTTTGTGATACCGCTCTCCGTGAATATTGCTGTTATTATTATTATTATAAGAAAACTAGCACTTTAGAATTTAACTCGAAGTAGCTGTTTTTTATCTCTAACGTCTCTCCAGTCTGACACCTCTATGGATCGTGTTTAGCAAGTCACTAATTTTGCTGTAACATTTGTATAAATTTCATCATGAAATTTAATGAATCATTACGGATTTTCTTTATGTCCCCGCATGTGAAATATAAATATGTAGCATATAAGTACATATGTATACTACTTATTGAAAGTACACTTAGGTAAACAGTTTATCACTTTTGTTTAATTTATTACGCATTTTTTCAAACAATATAAATTATATTCTTAGAAGCTTATTAGCACGCTTATTAGATTTATCTGCTTTTAGCAAGTCACTAATTCTGTTGAAATTTTAGCACACATTTCGTCATTAAATTTAATGCGCTCATGCGCTAAACTTTCATTCATGCCATACTCTCTTGCATTAGAAACTAATATCATAATATACTATTCTAACTCTGCTAATATTAGAGACCTCGTCATATACTCAAAAGAGACGGAGTATTTATGTCACAAAAAGGGACAGATAAGTCTACAATACTAAACATGATACATACAATAAGTACAGTTTTCAAATGTTATTAAAAAGGGGAGATGCTATCTATTTAATTGCATTAAATGTATCACCATTATTGTATATATAATAGAATAGAAACGAAACAGATGATTACAGAGATTGTGAATTTATGCTAAAAGATATTTAGTTAATTACGGTTTAATTACATATTTGTTCACCTTTGAAATCATCATTTTATCGTACCTACATCTGAAGTACGTAAATTTGATTTTTTTATTTATAAACCTACGCCTAATCTCTCTATCAAATAATTTATTCTTATAATATAAACTATATATAACATATTTTAACAACATTTTTAATAATCGTAAACATGTTTCATTCATTTGATTTCTCGTTGCAATTACAAGTTGTGTTGTAAGGTCGATGTTTAATTAATTTCACATTAAGTAGATTAAAATTAGTTCAAATTTCAAATTAGTTTGACATTCATGTTAGAACTAAAATTGCTAAACACATGTGTTAAAATTTTTTACAATTTTAGGAGCAGAACGTGTGTCAAATAGTGAAAGACGCAATTGATATGGGATACAGGCTTTTTGATTGTGGATATATTTGTAAAATTCAAAGACTTATTGGAACTGCTTTTCAAGAAAAACTTCACCAGGGTGTAGTCACCAGAAAAGACTTATTTATTATTAGCAAACTATGGTGTAACGTTCGCAGACCAGATTTAATCGCACCCGCAATTTTAAAAACGTTAAAAAATTTGGAAACAACATATTTAGATATGGTTTTAATACATTGGCCCATGGCGTTCCAACAAGGTGAAGAACTGCATCCTAAGAATGTAGAAACGGGCGAGTACCTTTACAGCAACGTTGATTACATCGACACGTGGAAACAACTGGAAACCCTTTATAGAAAAAAACTCATTCGGGCAATAGGTGTTTCAAACTTTAACATGGAACAAATTCAGAGAATTTTAAACAATTGTGCAGTGTTTCCCCAAGTTAACCAAGTACATAACAAGTAAGTAATTAATATGTATGTATATTTTTAATTGTATCTTTAGATGGAGTGTCATCCTTATTTTCATCAAAAACAACTGCGCACCTTTTGTGAAAATAATGGTATAATAGTAAGTAGCGATTTACCTTTGGGCCCACAAGAAGATGAATTCGAAAATTTGAATTTTATACGAGATCCTAACATCGAAGAGATTGCTAACAGATATAGAAAATATCCGGAACAAATTTTGCTGAAATATAATATTCAACTTGGAAACGTTGTAATACAAAATACACATAGTAAAAGTAGTATGGCTAAAAATTTAAATATTTTCGATTTTTATTTAGCTCTCGAAGATATGAGTTATCTTAATTCTTTCAACCGAAATGAACGAATGTTGAGATTTGAAGAGTGAGTATTTACTTGTATTAGTAACTGTGAAGCATCTTAATTTTTAGGGCAAAGCAGCATCCGTATTATCCTTTCAATTGTGATGAATTTTGATCTGTGATTTTTAGCATATAATAAAGTTATATAATTTGGTAGTAAAAATTTTATTTTTCTACTTTAAGCTTTTAAGTTAATTCATTTGTAAACTGTTCTAAGATTCTGCCGTGAATAACTTATTTTACAATTTATAGAACTTAATTTTACCTTCCATTAGATTGCAATGTTTTTAGTTCCTCCGCGTAAGCGAAAGAAGTATTGTAATAGAATACGAAAATGTGGTCTTCAATTACTGTTTTTCTGTCTATCGTCTGACGATTTTTATCAAACAGAGTCTCTGAAACTACTCGACTGATTGTTGTCACATTTTACATACTTTTTTTTTACTTATCATAAAAATAAAATTTTGCAAAATCCAATTCTATGATTTTTTGAAAAAATTGTATTTGTTTTATTGTATTTAAGAGGCGAGGGAAGTTCTGTCTTAGACTACAAATGTCTTCAAACAGATAAAACGAAGGCTATGAGTACATTTTAAGAGCGCTGGAAATTGGTTTAAGCAGCAGTTTCACAATAACTTAAAAAATTAAATTTCAAAAGATTTATTCCCTTAGTTCTACTTGCGCGTGAAAATGAATTATTAAAACCGCCTTAAAACTGAAGAAATTGTGCAATTATTACAAAATTAAGGTAAGCGTAGAACTGATCTGTCACTAGGTAACCAATGTTTATTTATTTAGAATAGAATTTTTTGCATTTTTGCATTATTGAAACTATTCAATAATGCAAAAAAGTACTAACTTAATAAGTGAAGCTGCGACCGCTGCTACCTAAGCTCTGTTACCGCCCAAATCGAGAGACCGTTATGAAAAGGCATTCAAAATCTTCGAAGATTGCTGTATTCTACAATTCATGTGCGTTTTCTCGGTGTTGGAAAATGAATATCTTGGCATTTTTGCAAATAACTTGTTAAAATTGACCGTGACATCAGGGGCGGCTTGTCCTATGAGGCAGGTGAGGCAGTGCCTCACCAATGAATTTTACGCCTTATTAGGATTTTTATTATTTTTTACCGATACATTTCGGCCAATAATTTGTGCCTTTTTTCTAAAATTTTAAAAATAAATATAGAAAATTATATTCTTATTTTTATCTCGGTAGGTACTCGTTGCTCCCTTAATTAAACAGCGCGCTTAAACACTCGACACAACATGTATGTATTTTGTGACACGAATGAGGCAGACTCGAAGCTTGCCTCTACAGCAGATATAGAAATCATGTCGTTAATAGGCCAGCAACCTGCAATACACTCATAAGCGGTATGAGTTGAAAAAAGACAAAATTGAGGCTAGCCTCATTTCCGTGCTTGCAAAAGAGATGGACAACAATATTTGCGCCCGGAGAACGTGCGATTACAATGCAGTCTGCATTTGCAGAAGTATTCAAAATTAGGCCGTTGATTGTTTTGCCACAAATCTGTGTGTGTATAAATTGATTCAAAATTTCGGTAAAAGAATTTTGTCTTAAAAGTGCCTACGTTTGCGTGTGTCGCGTAAGTGCTTTGTGCTTGTCATAATTCGATTTCGGTAATCGTTATTTAAGATTACGAGTAAATCGGAATTTTTCTCTACTAACGTTAAATGACAATGGCAGTTCTGTTTTTTTACTTTTACGTATGATGATAAATTGTATGTAGTTAAGGAATTAAAACGGCCGGTTCCTGATTTGAGTAAATCGTTAATTGATCTATAAAAAATTTTTAAAATAAATCCAGAGTATATATATTTTATATTTTTTTCGTTTTGTTTTTTGTTATAAATCAAATTAGATTTATTTTATGTTGTATTTGATTTTTTTCGATATGTTTTCTTTAAAGTTTATTATAATTTTGTTTTTTGTTAGTTATATTAGTTTTTTCTGACAACGCTTCCCTTTCCTTTTGTCCTGTCATGCTCATCCTTTCCTTGCAAGAGTTCCTTACACCTTCACGTTGGTTCTTGGTGGACAGTTAAATGAGTTTACAAATTTGTTTATTTGACTAAGTAGAAAATATTTAAGTAATCTTGATTTATTTATATTTTGGAGCGTTTTGTGCTTTGCCTCATCAACTTTTCAGGTCATGAGCCGCCCCTGCGTGACATAAGAACGCAAACTTGGATTCGTGATATTTTTTCAATTCTACTACGAATCAAGGAACAGATGAGTAATGTATTTTGGGGTGCCTATCGGGACAGGTCAAATTCGCCATTTACGCTGAGTCAGCCTGTATTATAACTTTATAAGTGAGGGAATTGTTATACACTCCCCACAAAAATTATCGCACCACCTTCAGTTCTAGTGAACTGGACATGTGGCTACTCTATACAAATTAGGAATAAAAATATGCTAGACAATGCCAAATAATGACAATATTTAAGGTGATTGCAATCGATATGTTTCCTTTACATATACTCATATTGTAAATATACAAAATTTTGAGGGTGGTGCGATAATTTTTGTGGGGAGTCGGGAGTAGGTATATTATAAGCGAGTGAGAATTTAAAATCACGAGCGCATTAGCGGGAATGATACTGATTCCATGAGCTTATAATAATATGTAATTGCATTTCGCTCACGTACAATATATGACGTTTTATCTTACGGTAGTAGCTTTTACTTACAAATAAGGAAAAAAATTATCCAAATTAAATGCTGATTTAACCTAAAATCGCATTGTCATTAGATATGTAAGTAGTATCCATGCTTATATTGCATTATATCACTTGTGAGGATTTTATCTTACTTGTTAATAACGTTGAATTTTTGTCTCGTAAAACAGTTATATAAAGTACCTAAAACCCGCTACTGTAAGATAGTAGTATATAGTTCTACAAGTAAAGAAAATTGGTAGTTCTGTAGTGAGTGAAAATATATTAATCTACCAGTGTAGCCAATATACCTAACAAAGTTTTACGAGCCAGAGAACGTATTTTTCTTATCGATGGAACAAACATTTTTTTGTATATTTGATGGAAAAGCTTAAATTGTAAATTAAAAAAAAATATGAAAACCATTATGATGCAAAATGTGGAAACGATTGAAACAACTGCCAAACTTTCACGGTGACAGGTATAAAAAAAGTAATCTTTTGTACTATCATATCTGAAAATGACAATAATTAGTATATGACACTAGCGCGCTTCAATTTTTCTTCCAAGATTTAGAGCCGCAAAGTACAAACTGCAATTATAAAATACATCAACGTTTCAAAATTTATTATTGATATAAAAAAAATATTTTCCTAATGTTTTAGCTAGGCAATTTCAGTTTAAAATGGTAAAAAATGCACTTTTGTACCAGTTTTGATTTCAATATTTAGGGTATATAGGAAACTTCCCGGTTGTCCGGTTAAGTTGCATTCGAAGACGTATGGACCAATTACGTAATCTGCAATAATACTAGCCCACACATTTATGGAATAAACATTTTGAAAATTAGCTGTTCTGATCCAGTGTGGATTATTTTGGGAGTAATAGTGACAGTTGTGCCAACAAGAACAAAACTTTGAATAAAAAATTATTGTCCAACTTTAGTTGATGTTGCATAAAATTGAAAAATTGTATTCTTCTGGGAAAGTCTTCTTCTTTTAGATCTTGTACTAATGTCACATGGTAAGGGTGGAACTTATTCGTTCTCACAATTTTTGAACCGGAAGACTGAGATATTCCTACCTGTCGTGCTCTAAATCTTTGGCTCACATGAGGGTCATTGTCTACAGCTTCAACTAGACGAATTTCATTTTAGGTAAACCCTCTATTTCTTGTTTCTTTCCGCCAATTTTGTCGTCAGGTTTTTTCTAAACATCTAAAGATTTGTCGGATAGATGTCGCCTATCGGGATATCTTCTTTCGTAGAGATTTATTGCTGCAACGGCATTTTTTTCGTATTCTCCAAAAATCAAGATCATATTAACCTTTTTCTCGTTCGTGTATTTAACTCTCATCTTAAATTCAAGGAGATTCTGCTAAAGCCATTTCGAATTTGCTTCAAGAGAAGAATATTTAAAAAGTCATGAACAACTTAATCAGTAGAGAAGAAACGTGAAGAACATTAGTGAGAATGTCTTGTTGGCATTTTTTTTAAAAAAGGTAGGAATGTACATTTTTAAAATAGATTTTGTCAAAAAAAATGTTCAGTGACTTGACTTAAAATAAGTAAGTTACCAAACATCAGTATGTTGTTCGGCATTCCCTACAGTTTTCATCAAGTATGAGCGTCAACACTTCGGAGAATCGTTATCTCTCTACGGTTGCTCCACATGGATTGACTTTTTATGATTTAACAAAATGTACAATTAATTTTTAGCAAAATAAATCGATTGAATAATTATATGAAATGTCTGTCTTTTGAGAATCTTAATGCTAACGAGTAAAATGACACATTTCTTTATTCATGTCAGCATAGTAGAAATAACGTTTTCCAACAGGAATAAAAAAATCTTTTAACTGCACCACAGATGTTGTCACTATTAACAGAACCTTGGTTTAAGATTTGCATTAAACATTGCTTGAACGATATATGGAACTCCATGTAGTAATTTTAAAAGTCGAAGAAAGAATTGCTTTATCTTATACTTGTGTTATACAATGTGTTAAAAAATAGATCACCAACTTAGGAAAGGCGATCATACATGTAAATTTACTGTATATTCAAAGTGAGCTCACCATTTTAATTAAAAAACAAAAAAAAAACATTTCGCACTTGCTTTGATTATAGCGCGAAAATTCACAAATAATTACTGAGTACAGTGTAAGCGTAAAAATGGAAATTTACTAAAAACAACTGTTTTTACAGATTTGTAATTTACCTGGTTTAAACATAATTAATGTTATTGTTATTCTTACCACTAATTAGTACACAATTGGCACTGCTTTCGTTGGCTAATACGCTTCTATTAATTTTTCTTTCATGTTTTTTTATTTTGTCTGCTATGTGATTTTTCTTTTAATCATGAAATAAAAACTGTGACCTTTACTAATTAAGATTTATATAACCATGTGCATTAGATAAGTAGATGGAGTCGTATTCCTGGCGAATCTATTTAAAATTGTAAGAATGGGTCATGGATGTCGTTCTTTTTAAAAAATACTTTGTTAAATCCGGACAACCAGCGATTCAGATTTTAATAGTAGTGGTTATTGTTTTTCAAAGTGGCAAATTTTGATCAGGACACTTTTGACAATTTTTCGTAGTCCAGTTGACCTACAAACATTTATAAACACACTGTATATTTAATGTAAGATGCATGGACGTTATGCGTGAAAGTACTTGACAGTTTTGGTTAAATATTCAACATATTCACACGGACTAGGAAAGCTGTGTGGATGTTTCATACCATTTTTTTAACAACATGAATATAAGTCAATTAAGATTACTCACTGAAATGACAAATTTCGAAAGAAGTACGGCCTAAGGTGTGAGACATACATATAATAGTTTATATTTTCAACAAATTTTTACAAACGAAACAATTACCTCAGAGTAATTCAAACACATAATTCTGCTATACTTTAGCTATCTGTATGCTTAACATTGTTATGCCGCGACTGCTAGCAGGATATTTTATTTTATCACAAAGTAACCCACATTAATGAATTTAAAACAAAACATAAATATGTAGATACTGCTTCATACAGCATGCACTTTTAACAAAGATGGTACAGGTAAAGTTCCACATTCGTGCTGCGTCATTGTTATTACACAATTTCTAAAACATTTGCACGATAAACGTTTTAACGTGTTGAGATTATCAGTGGCGCAAAACTCATCGAACAAATCAATTTATTTGCAAAGATATAAATTACTAAACAAACAATGTAATACATCAGTTAACGTTTCGTTGTCGTGTTTACCTATCTGTACAGCTCAACCATGGCAAACATACCTTTAATTAAACTGAATAATGGTCTTTCTATGCCCGCTTTGGGTCTGGGCACCTGGCAGGTAGGTATTAATATTTTTTCCGACAAAAGCGAATTTAAAATTCTGTTTACATTATTAACAGGGCCCTCCGGGCAGAGAGGCTGAAGTAGGTCAAGCTGTTAAAGACGCGATTGATGTGGGCTACCGACATTTTGATTGCGCTCACGTTTACGAGAATGAAAAAATAATTGGGGAAGCTATACAAGCTAAGATTAAGGAAGGAGTCGTGAAAAGAGAAGATCTGTTCATTGTCAGCAAATTATGGAACACTTTTCACAGACCAGATTTGGTGGAACCCATGATAAAAGAAACATTAAGGAACCTTCGGTTAGATTATCTCGACTTGTACTTAGTTCATTGGCCTTATGGACTTAAGGTAAGCAACTAAGAATAGTACTTCGGTATATATAATGTAGAAATACGTGTTTACCCACACATGTCATATTTGTGAGTTTTCCTCAATTTATCTATGAACTTCTAATTCTGTACTGAACATTTAGGATTCATAACGTTTACTGAGAGAAATAGCTTTAAATTTTGTTCTTTAATTTTGATGTATAAATTTTTTACTGAACATTTTCCAATAGAAAACCCTTTGCTGAAATAACTGAAAAACTGTTATTCATGTTATTATTATCATTTACACGTTATGAAACAAATTATATATCAAAAATCACGAATAAAATAACAAAAAGCTTTCAACACATTAAAAGTGTTTATTGGATTAAAGATATGGTGTATTATTTTCAATTCTTATGTTTTCTGCTTGGAAGACTTTTTATGATTTGTCAGACATCAATTCAGTTTTAATTTCCCATGACTATTGTACATATTAATTGTTTGTTGTTGGTGCATTTTGAATAGAAATTTGGATTTAAAAATGGGATTTTTAGAAATAGCTAGTTTTGAGAACTATAGTTAGAGAATACACATAAAAACTTTTATTACGAAACAATGCCACCACAAATTTGACAACCAAACTAAAACAATTTAACAATTTCAAACTTTTTAGTGAGTTCTGCGTTTGTAGAAAGTGTATATTCCTATTTACAATAATGTTTTGTAGTATTTTTAGCTATACTTGAAAAAAAAATACGTTCATGGTAAATTATTTTAAGAACAATTACCGGAATAGCCCATTAAAGTTTATGGATGTTTTTAAAACACCCTAAAATTTTCAGTAATAAAGAAGATTAATTGAAATATATTTATTCCGTCACATTACAAAAATCTTGCGGCTAACAGTCTCTCTTATGCGCTTCCTTGGCTAAATATTGTTTATTGTATACCGTACAGGATGAAGTTATTTACATCGAACTTGTTGCTTCTACGGCATAATCAATAACTCTAGTTTTTAAGTTTGTAATGGTTTTCATTTCTTATATAAAATTATATCTGTATTTTTATAATGAACATTATTATAATGTATAATTTTATACGTACCTATAAGATTCACGGATGTTTTGTGAAAGTCCTTTTGTATTTTCGTATCAAATGTATGTTTATTTTTTGAAGGAAAATATCATACTGGCTACTGTAGATTCATTTTCAAATTTCTAAATTTTAGGAAGGGCCGGAATTATATCCCACTGATCCGAAAACAGGTTTATTCATTTCCAGTGACACTGACTACGTTGACACTTGGAAAGCAATGGAAGAAGTAAATAAAAAAGGTCTAACCAAATCGATTGGCATCTCAAACTTCAACAGCAAGCAAATCGAAAGGCTGTTAAAATCAGCCAAAGTCGTGCCGGTTACAAATCAGGTGAGCGAAAATTCGCCATGAATTTTCTTTTAACTCACCTCGTCTACTTCACAGATTGAATGTCACCCCTATTTGAACCAAACCAAGTTGCGTAAATTTTGTTCGGATAGAGGTATTACGGTAACTTCGTATAGTCCGTTAGGGTCTCCAGCGAGGCCGTGGCAAAAACCTGGTGATCCCGATGTCATTAACGACCCTAAAATCAAGGAAATCGGAAATAAGTACGGAAAATCTCCTGCGCAAATTTTACTCCGATATAACATTCAGCTGGGCACTAGTGTAATTCCGAAGAGCTCGAATAAGCTGAGGTTGAAGGAAAATATGGATATTTTCGATTTTGAATTGACTGCGGAAGATATGAAATATATCGATACTTTTGACTGCAATGGGAGGATTTGTCCACACGCTGAGTAAGTCGTGGATTCGTTCAACTAATTCAAACTCACTAATTGGTTTCGATTTTCAGGGCTAGAGAGCACCCTCTTTATCCCTTCAGACCCGATGTGGAATTTTAATGTCAAGGGAAAACATTGTTGCAATATTTTATTCAGATTAGTACTTTTGTTTTAAACGCTGTTTGGATCTACATCGTTTGTAATGAAGTGCAAAATAAATCATTTTAGAATGTAGATAAGTGTCATTTTTCAGATAACCTACTTGGTTTTAGGGCGTGATTATTGGAGATATCTAAAGAAATACTTCCGTGACGTGACTGACAAAATTATTAGATTAATACCACAGTCTTATGAGACCAGCAGATTGCCTCGAATTGTCATTTATTATTTTTATAGGAGAACAAACATTAAAAAGATTTGCACCAGTAGAAAATCACTAGTAATCATTTAATAAATCTATTCGGCGGTCTCGTTTAATATGCTTCTAATAATCCGGTAAGACTCATTTTAAATCAGAAACACAGACTATTAAACGAACTTTATATTTAAGTACCTATATTATACTTTTTTAATTTACCTCCTACGAAATTTGAAAAATTGCTGTAGGTATGCCGTATACTAATATGAGTAGGTTTTTTTACTACAACCTTATATTCATTATTACTACTGCTCAAACTTATGATCAATTCGTCATCTTAATTCTAACACACGTTGATGCCTTACAAGTCTCCCGCGATATGTATGGATGATTTGCAATGCACCACTGTCAATTTCAGGAAACGGCCTCAACTTGTGATTAGGGATGGGTGATATGGTGTTTTACATTTACATTTACAAATCTCGATAAATGACAATACATCGGGAAGTATCAAAATTTGAAGTATAGTTAAGTATAACTGCTAAGTATAGTTAAAATAAAAAAAATATCTACAAAATCGATATTGCAGTGTAATGAATAATAATTATTATTATCTAGTTTTGTTTAATTTAAATCACTATATTCTAAAATAAATCATCCAACTAAAATATTAAATTTTCATCTTTTGTGTATCATTCCAAAATTGCTCAGTAGACAATCAGATCTACACTGGCGTTCTTAACTTTGTTTTCGACACTTTGACCACTTTAATAAATAAATCTACTTGCACTACTAGAATCAGTTATATTTACTTGATCAGTCATCATTCATAAAAAAATTGTTCGCCTGCATGTCCGGTTAAAGAAGTCCATAAATCGATTATGAGTTACTGCAATTTATAATTTTTGCCATATATTCAAATGTAGAAATGGTTGTGAATGATATTTCCACGACTGAAACCAATCTACGAGTATATCGATATCGATGTAGTGTAAAATATTGTATCGACATATCCAAAGACGATCAAAGATGTGGATTTTTGAGGTTTTGTTTTTTATCGTTACATTTTCATCTCAAACTTGCACGTTTGCAGTTGTCTGACAAGAGGAAAATTCTACTAAAGACAATTCTTCAAAAATTGATGGCTGTTAGTAGTCGTGCTTTTTATTGCTTTTTCGGTATTATCGATCAGGTTATCGATTCAGGGATTCACAATTATATTAGTTATCGAAATTTCGATTGTAGGTATATTGGTGACTTAGAGATCGTTACTTGGTTGACTGTGCTTAGATCTGAGTTTCAGTATGAAAGACAGGTTTTATCCGTAGTCAGGTAGGAGACCGTGGATTCAGAACACAAGTATTTATAATACGTATATACGCAAACATCAAATATTTTTTATTTTTATTTATTGTCTTGACTTCAACTTCACTCATTGCTCCCGGCAGTGGTTCCCATTTAAACAGCCACGCGGTCCTTCTTGAAAAGTCGCCGTCCCCACTTCTAGGCTTGTTCTAGATAGGTACGACTTGAATCATCTGCTTTAGTCGGTGGTACCGAATCTATGTGTCGTAGAAAGCTCGTACCGCAGTTCCTGCTTCTTGATAGTAAACTGGCACAGCTTCTGGTCAGAGGAAGTATTGGTCTACCATAATAAGTAGACAGCGGATTTCTGTCGGGCTACGTCACGATTATAGGTGGGGACGCGCTGGATCGCCGGGACTCAGTAGCGGGTGATAGATAATCACTGAATTTAATCATAACTTATTCCACAAATATAATTATTATTTTATTTATTAATCAAACGGCTAAGTAAATGAGAACGGGAATTAACAGCAGAGTGCAGCGAAACAGCGTTATTCTAATCTCAAATAAACAAAGTGCAGCGCGTAACTTCAATGAATTCCCATCCTGTACGAGCCGTACCGAGTTTGGCCTTCCCTAGCCCGACAGAAATCCGCTTTCTAATAATAAGACAGTAACGAAAATCCTCGGACGCTGGCATTATTACGCTGTTCAAATGCACATGATGGGCGAAGAGACGTAACGTGCAATCTTCGAAAGCTGACACTATACGCATTTGCGGGCGAGGATCTCTACGAGCTTGAGTTGGCGACCTGATTTTCCTGCCAGATATTTTTTTTATTCCCTTGTCTTTTTTTTATTTTATCTATTTATGGGATTTTCCCTTTACAGAAAAATATAACTCAAAACTATATTGTTAATGAAATAACAAAATAACAGTAATTACGATAGATTTAGTTCACTAAGTTTTTTTTTAATGTACATAATTCCTTGATGTTCCAGAAAGCTCCATTTCCCCGCATATATGTTTGCCATCGTAAACTTAAGTCTTGAAAAGGACATTGTAAAACACTTTTTTTTTATTCACAGTCAACAAATTTTCACGATACCATCCAATGACATTTCTAATATCTTCTTGGAGAAGATGACAATCATCAACTGATTTTATATCTTTATAAACTTTCACGTCATCGGCAAGTAGTAATATATTGGAGTATTTAATTACTTGATGAACGTCATTCATGAATAGTAAAAATAGCATGGGACCATAGTGTGACCCTTGAGGAGCACCTGATAACACTACGACCGTTTCATATAATATTGCAACACTTAACAAACTGAATACGGTCTCTGAAAAAACTGTCAATCCAGTTAATTAGTATATTATTATCGAAATTCATTTTCCTTAACTTAGATATTAATAAATCGTGACTTACTCAATGAAATGCTTTAGATGAGTCACCATAAAAAGAATCTATGACCTGACCTGACCTGACCTTTCATAAATCCGTGTTGATTTGTAGATGTGGGTTGATTATATTACAAATGCATTTTAACTGTATCGAAACTAAGAAATCCAATAATTTGGGTAAGACGGACTGTATACAATATACATATACCTCAATAATCTGACACCTTTGATCGATCCCCCGATTTGAATATAGGAGTAAAGAAAGGAATGGAAACACACCTGAGGATAAAGATAAATTAAAAATATGATGTGTGGGTTTACATAATGTGTGTATACAATTTTCTAAAAAGTATGCTGGGGCACCATCAGTTTACCGAATTGTTTAGACCCATAGTACTGCTGTTGTTGTGTTGCTGTCAATGCTTAGGAGTTTGTTGAGGTTTTCAAAGATGCAGTGTGGGAACGAGCATCTGCTATAACATTTTCGTTCCATGTAATACGGCAAATGTCGATCGGGATTTGACCATGAAATCAAGATGTCGCATTTGGCGAGGTGAGCACTTTTTTTTTGGAAGATCTAAGCGATCGGCTTGTGAAATATATAGATGGTGAAAAGTCGCGGTTCCTGCATGTGCCTAAAATGCTTAACTACAAAATAATTCTCGTTTATAAGCCCTCCCGTAGTTTGATTTGGTGAGACTTACGTTTTTTGGAGAAAAATTTAACAGTTGCTAGTGACTATTGACCCAGTCTTGGAGGAGTGCTCCGACGGCGTGTCCGAAATTTCTTTGGTAGCCTCGAACGCTGTAACCGTTGCTGGTGTACAATTGACAGGATGTCGTTGAAAGGTGTTTGCATCTCGGCGGCCTTGGGTAGAAATCTCCTAAAAAAGATCAAAATACCCAGAAATTGACGTAATTTTTTTAACGTGTTCGGCTACGAAGTGGGCGGGTACCTGCACCGGAAACGAGGTATTCCAGGAACTTAACTCTGGCTGGCCGACGACACATTTTAAGGCCGACGACCCTGTATTTCTTAAAACGTTGAAACAATTTCCAGATGCCGGAAGTGTTTTCAAGTGATGCAGATAAGATGAAGATGTTGTCGATACAATTATGCCTAATAAAAAGCGACACCCTGCACCACCTCCTCGATGAATCTCTGAAAAGTCTGCTTTAAGTTTCATAACCGAAACGTCGTGAATTCGAATTCATATAAGCCGAACGGCGTTGTAGGTGCGGTCTTCTGGACGTCTTCTTCAGCAAGAGGGATCAGGTTGAATGCACGGACTAGATCGATCGATCGTTGAGAATATTAGTTTGTCATGTAAAGAATAGGCAAAATCTTCAATGTGCCTCACTGGATACCTGTCATAACAGGTCCTCACGTTGAGAGCACGGTAACCGCTACATGGTCTCTACTCATCATCCTATTTCGCCACCATGTGGAGTGGTGATGACCACGAATGTTGCGAGGGACGAGCAAAACGGCGTCGAACTCTTTCTTTGTTATTTGGAGTCTGTCAAGCGGAAGTCTTCGGGATCGTTGAGTTGTGGGAGATTCCGGCGTGGTGGGGAAAGTGTTTTACCACCTTGGATGTTCCAGACCCAGACCTAGACGCATAACTTCGGGAAACCGCTGTAAAAGTTCGTAAGAACGATGAAGATTCACCTATGATTTTAACGGACAGGATCGTACTCTCAGTCATCTCTCCGATGTAAGTAAGTTGAAAAGAAGAAGAAATCCGTAAACCCAAATTTATCGCCAACGGTTCTCATAGCTGGCAATGCGAAAACACGCACAGATCAGCACCCGTGTCTAGGAGAACATTGATCCCTTTGCCCCGTTTGTTATAAATAAATGCTGGCATGTTATTGTATGACAAGTGTCGTCCGCCGCCATTTACGACTGCCTCCGGCTTTTCCCGCTGGTTCAACACTGTATTTGCATGGTTTATTGTTTTTCGACTGGTTAACAAAACGCCATCTATACCACTGACGCCTTTAATTCGCTTTTGGAAATGCGAACGCAAAGACGGACACTGTGATGCATCTTGTCACGGATTTGATCGCACCCGCGCCCGCGGCCTGACTGATAAAACTGGACACGAATTTGAGCCCGGACCGTTTTGGGACGGGGGTACTCAATTCTCCTCTATTTCGACAAGCTTTTGTAAGACGGTTGTACACATTCTTTGCAAATCGTTGATCCTTTTTTTGTAATCCGTGGTCGTCGATGGAGTCGCGGATGGTTTGGTAGTCATGTTGTGCGGCGCGAAACTTTTTTTTTGACAACACTTTAACATTTGCCCAATATGTTTTGTCGCTACTGTCTAATGTTCACGATTTTGATTCCCAAGGACCACAAGTTTGTGGTGGTATGCAATGTAGATTGCCACGGACCATTACGTGGGGATCACTAATTCGTGAGTATTTTGCTCATTTAAAGATCGTTAGTTAATTGTCTTTTATTAGATCTGTACAGTTCAAGAACTGGTCGAGGAGAGAGAGTTTCAGAAATTTGAAGTGAAAAGAAAGTGCGCTTGAAGAGCAGTGAAAACCGGTTAAGAAGTTATATATATCTCGCACCTCTACTTGCGATAGCTATGACATTATTATTTTCTGTAATACCCACCTACTTTAAAAAGTCATTTACCAGTTTCAGTCTGTTTTTCATCATCAATTCAAAAATTACTCGAAAATGGATTCGATTAGTATACTTCTTTAGCTTATGCTCAGGAAGTAAAAATTAACATCTTTGGAGATGTGTATCAGACAAATGTGTATCATTTCCTTTTCTTGTGACACATAAGTATCACAAGAGATACGTACGAACGTGTTAAAACAAGAAATGTTTTGTGTTGTACAGCCTGTTGTGGACTTGAATGCAAAACATTTAACTGGTAGTAGAATTCATCAATATCTGAAACTTTGCTATATAGCTTTTTTTTGGAAAACCCATTTTTTTTGGCATTCCCTCCTTCATTTTGACGAGCTCGTCAGGGTATCAAAGTAAATTCACTTTCGTTGACTCAGAGAGATTTTTTGGGTAAACACTTGGCGCAAGTTTTTGCCAGAAAAATGACTGAGTGCGTTATGATTTGATTACAAACAAGCAGTTAGTTGGCAGTGAATTCTCACAGTGTTCGGGTAGTTATTCGGATACAAAAGATGGTACAATGGTTTATGCCAACGTAGAATACACGGATATGTTACTTGCGTAGGAATGCTCAGGAGGCGAGACTATACAGTGTCCGTTTCCCAAACCGACGCCTTTCAGCCGGACATATATTTACTGCAGCATTTTAACAACTACGTGATTTTGGGAAATTTCAGACCCCCAATCACAGTCGTGGTCAGCAGCACCGCACAGATCGGGTACTGGAGCTGGAATCCGAAATTTTGGATGCTGTTGGCGAAGAACCCAATATAAAGATTTGTCGGCTGGCATTTTGTATGATTATTTCTAATCTTTATAGTACGGCGGACCCTTCATGGACAAGAATTGCACCCATACCAGCTTCAACGTGTGCAAGTGTTAGAAGCTTATGTTACCCAGTGGTTAAATGTACATTTTGAAAACAAGTGCAGTGGTAGAAATGTACCAGTGCTGTGGCCTCCTTGTTCTCCAGTTTTAATTCCCTGTGATTCTTTTTGTTGAGGAGTTAATGTGTGTGGAAGAAATAGCTGTAGGTGTGAATACTGTGGGTGAAGTCATTCGTTCAAATCCGGCTGTGAGTGAGAGGATACAGATTTCAATGGCCCGGCGAATTCAAACATGCATCAACAGAGAAAGGCGTCATTTTGAGCAATTTTTATAAATAAGCGAAATGCAGTACCTACTGCAGGCATCTACTTACATATTTGTTGATTTATTGTTATGGTTGAAGTGAAATCTTTGCCGAGTGTTAAGTTTGCGAAAGCTCTCTGAATTTCCGTCGGATATTTTATGTTTTTATTGTGCCAACGTACGGTAGTACTGCTGATCAACATTGTTAATAAATCAGCCCTGTGGGGAATAAATTGGGTTTTATTTTATTTATTACTGTTTTTTTTATGAACACATGTGAGCGACGAACTTATTACCTGATATAAACGTGCGTTTTTGTGAAGCGCGGATGGTTTTTGCTGCATCGAAGAAGGTAGGTACTAATTACCAACGCGCGGAATTGTGTTTCATACGCTAGATCCAGTGCTGTCGCGGCGATAGTTTGATTACAAATATATTTTTTTTTCGGACTATATCAACATAATATAACATTTCAAGATCACAAATCTGTGGTCCTGTGTTTGAAAAACTAAAAAGGGCATCGGGTATTTTTATTTCAAGTAATATAGTAATATAGAAGTAGTTTTTTAACAAGCTGTAAACACTCCATGGCGACGCACTGGCTACGACCTTGTGGACCAGATCAAAGCGTCCCCGCTACTCGCCGTAAAACACACCTTGCTTCAACTGGGGAATTGCATCCGTAAGATACTTTTCCGCCCAGTGCTAATTACTACTAGGCGGGTACCGATTTGCATAGCCCACCTATTTTCAATTTTCACTCTTGAACGGTAGAGTCTTGAACAAAATGTTATATAGAAAAGTTTACGCTAATAATGAGTTCTATTGCCGGTTAAATTTTTTGTATTAAATTCCATAACATAAGCTGATTTTGAGATCCGTAGTCAACGTGTTAATAACTTTTTACGTAATGCGTGAACTCAAGTTAGTACAATGCATACAAGTTATCAAATCTCTTTCATAAAAGAAATCATGGAAATATATACATTTAACGTAGTTTGTTATTTACATTCATTTCGATTTCCATGTGGTAATTCTAAAAACACATCCGAAAAAATCCAAAAAGGGAAAATGACACTACTGAAAATGTCAACCGAAAACCTCAGTTCAATTACATTCTTGTAATGAGAATAATGGCTTTACCAGAAAATTATAAAAAATATGTAGTAAGTTGAGAAAATGAAGCTGACAGCGAATGATATGATGTATACTGTGTTGCAGGAGTCTTTAGGTTAGTAAGTAGTTATATAATTTTAGAGACATATGAATGCAAATATCTAAATAAATTACAACAGAACAACAAATATTTTTGCGGGTTTTGTTTTCAACGATAATAAAAAGTGTTATCCTTCTATTCGCATAATTAAAAAATGTGTGTCTTTATAATTACATTTGTATTAGCTATAAGTAGTTACGTACTTTGAATTTCTGAGATTTGATAAGAAGTGTACCTATTTAATTTTTTATACGCCCAATTTTTAGTACGCATAACATTCAAATGACGTAACATTATCTAAAAATGTTTAATTTAGAAACAGTTGTCAGTATTAATTAATATGCTTTGATCTCTGGTTAAATAACAACTGATAATCAAATAATTTGTTTCTTTGGGACTCGTTCATTGGATAATATTTATGTAACTCATGTAAAGGTTCACTTAATCTCAATAAAAACTAACGTTATAAAATGCTTGATAAAATAATACTGAGTCGGAATCACAGCGTCGCAAACATCATGGTAAACGTCCCTTTAATTAAGCTAAACAATGGCATAACAATTCCGGCTTTAGGACTGGGAACTTTCCAGGTTTAAACCAATTACCACAAATATTGATTTTGCTTTATTCTAATTAGTTAATTAGGGTCCCCCAGGTCACGAAGATGAAGCCGGCCAAGCAGTTAAAGACGCCATTGACGCTGGCTATCGACATTTCGACTGTGCTCATTTATATCAAAATGAAAAAATAATTGGCGAAGCAATACAATATAAAATAAAGGAGGGCGTAATAAAACGTGAAGATCTCTTCATCGTCAGCAAACTTTGGAACACTCTACACCGTCCAGCATTAGTCGAACCGGCTCTAAAAGAAACACTTAAAAAACTCCAATTAGATTATATCGATCTTTATTTGATGCATTGGCCTCAAGGGTTTAAAGTAATAATATTTGGAGAAATTAGGTTGGTATTGATTGAGATGTTACAGGAAGGACCTGAATTTGTTCCGACCGACCCAACAACCGGCTTGTGTATTCCCAGCGACATTGATTACGTCGACACCTGGATGGCTATGGAAGAGTTGCAAAAGAAAGGGCTGACAAAGTCGTTGGGGGTGTCGAATTTCAATAGTAAGCAAATTGAAAGGCTTTTAAAGTCTGCCACAATCGTCCCTGTCACAAACCAGGTAAAACTCAATCTTAGATTTTTTTTTAGGTTGGTGAGTAGGTTAGTAGCCAAAAATTATTTAAAATATAATATAATAAAAATTCGTTTTTCGTGTACTCATTAGGAAAGCATACTTTTATTTTATCAAAAACAATAAAGAAAAGTGGCAATTTTCCAGTTAACAACCACATTATCATTTATTTCAGAACTTTATTTTTCATAAACAAAATTGAAAGTACAATGAGTGACATTAGAAAACGTAATTCTGGCAACTGTAAATCTCTGTAAAGAAGCATTATTTACGTCTGAAATTAATTAATCATTTTGTGAACTTGTTTACTCTGTTATTATCAACAAATTTGTTGTTATGGTAATACGCTAGCATGATTATTATTTATAAAAATCAAAATAATTTTAAAGTTTTATGTTTAAAAACTAAAAAAAAACGACTACACGAAAAAATTGTATATACTACGCGTAAGAAAAGTGGTTTTCCATACTCGTGTATAAGTTCATCCGCTGGCTGCGCTCGTGAATTAAACCTTTTACTTTTCTTTACTTTTATAACAATCTACTTTTCCCGTATCCAGGAACTTGTGCTTTATCTTGTAATGCTTAATTATTTCAATAAATATGTTCACATTAGAAAACTATATTTTTTAACAAAAGCAACACTTCGGACCGGTTTTAGTCAAAGCGCCTTCTGTTAATAATACATGGCTTTCTAATGAGACCTTCTACTGAAATCTATTGAAGATAGCCGGAAATTTCAACGTTGTAATATTTACTTTAAATAACACATATGTTAGGATAGTAGAAAAATAAGTATTGACGTTCGCTTTGAGTTATCTCGAATTTATCATAGAAACGTTTTTATACATATACAGAATGATATGCATATCTTACTCACGACTTTTTATAGGTTGAATGTCATCCATATTTCAACCAGACAAAACTTCGCAAATTTTGCCTGGATAGAGGTATAATTTTAACGTCATATTGTCCATTGGGTTCACCAGAAAGACCATGGCAACTACCAGGGGACATTAATATTATGACTGATCCTAAATTTAAAGAAATTGGCAAGAAATATGGAAAATCGGCAGCACAAATTATGATTAAGTTCAATTTGCAATTAGGTAATATTGTTATTCCAAAATCGTCCAGTAAACACAGGATAATTGAAAATATTAATATTTTTGATTTTGAATTGAACGAAGATGATATGTCATATATGAAGACTTTCGATTGCAATGGTAGAATTTGTCCATATCGCGAGTAGGTATACATGATGGGTTTTTGAATTTTTGTTATTTTAAAGTTTTTTCAGATGTGTGGAACATCCCTTCTATCCTTTTAAACCAGAAGTAGAGTTTTAACTATGCAAACTATTTATGTAAAAACTATGACATTTTATGGTTGGTAAACAATTAATTATTGTTATTATTCTGTTAGTTAAGATCAAAAATGGTCAGTACTAATTTAACGTAGACTGAATGGTGCTTCACTAACATAGTTAAAATGTTTAAGATCCTTAGAAACAATATGATAATTTCTTAATAAATTTGTTTCATGAATGTTGACAATTATCGATTGGTTTCAAAATGTAACGGGTGGCTTAAAATTATTCCGTATAATAACTCCATTTGAGATAAATTAAAACAAATTCTAGAAAACTTTTATGAAAAGTATACGGAAGCTTAATTGTGTTGCGTTTTATCGTTAGTAGTTCATTATTTGGATAAGATATGACATTTTGTAAATGGAACCGTCAGTTTTGCATGGACAAAAATACTAATAAAGACAAAAGAAATTTCTTCCTACGTTATTTCTCGGTAAGGTGAATGAGTTCGAGTGGTGTTTATGCTGCGTGAATGTTTTTTTTGCTGCTATGTTTAAATTTGGTAGTTCATAGGTATTACTCAAAGAATTGTCACGGAAATTTCAATTACCATTATTGGGGAAGATTGCTGTTATGAATGAAATCACTGAGGACACTGATGATAACGATGTTCGAGATTCTAGAAGTACATTGTACACTCTGGTCTGTTATTGTTGCTCAATCTTGTCTTGGTTCCACGAACATAGCGTGACGACCGATTAGCAACTACGCCAGTGGCTGGACATATGGGACGTGAGTAGGCGCCTGGGGACGAGAGAGGGCATTAGGACTAGGAGCACTACTATACTCTCCCGTTCAAAACCTTGCCTATGAGTCCTGGACCTTCCTGGAACGACCTTTTCGTCGTAGGTTGAACCGTTCGTAGGCAATGTACACCCCCAACGCTATATCGAGCTGCTTCTGTACACTGCTCTCGTAACTTATGGTCCTTGCTGTTAGAGTATCACATAAGGTCCGTCCTGCTTCCGGGCGAACTTTTACGTAAAGCCTTGGGACGTCTTACTTAATAGATGAGTTTACACTAGTATCAAATCTCCTGGGCGTAAGTGGGACTTAGCATGCTACGATTGTCTTGGTGAGTCTTTCGTCGGTCTTGCTCGGATTTTCGGAAAATGCCAACAAACAGATCCCTATATTTCGTTTAATCACATGTCGCTATTTCCTGTTCCCTCTCCATGTGGCACCAAACCCCTAGGTTAAGTTTTATGGTACCACATGTCCATTCTTTTCGAAGAAGTCGTAAATTGCGACTCAAGCATCCCTAGCTCTTTTTTTTTTGGATTTCATGTAAACACCACACTTGTATAACGACCATTATCGGTGGGCACAAAGGTAGAGAAGCAAGCGTTTTGTACAAGAAATTCCGTTATCAAAATGGAGTAATGCTATTTCCTCCCTTTGTAGATATATACCCGGGTGGGTTAGGTAGCTTCGTACTTGCCTGCTACACCTTGGGTCGTGGGTTCGATTCTCGCCCGGTTCTGGGTGTTGTGTATGTCCCCCGTTCTCCTGTAATTGGGCCACCGGCCTGTAGGGCAACGTAATGAAATAAAAAAAATAAAAAATAAAAAAAAATAAATATAATGTAATGAAAAACAAGTTGAAAATTAGGATGGATGACAGTCATAGATCTAACCTACTACAGGTGGAATGAAGTTTATGATTCCACCTAGGGGAAGAAACTGATTCACAGGTAACAGAAGTTACCTGTGTGTGTTATATTATAGAAATTTTTGTTTATATATTTATTCTAACTGTACGTGATGGAATTTTTACCTATTTTTCCCACAATTAACATCCGAAAGGGAACTGAAAAAAGTAGTCAACCTCGAAACTCTATTAAGTTGTTATTACGGTCATTTCTTTTCTATCCTTAAGTATGGTATCATGTTCTGGGGAAATTCTGATAACAATCAAGTGTTTGTTATGCAAAAAAGAGCGATGAGAATAATAGCAGGTTTAAAAATGACGGATTCGTGTAGGGGTGTATTCAAAAAATACAATATATTAACGAAAACCGGGTTATATATTTACGAATGTCTATGTTTTCATCAACAACATAAAAACTATTTTCAAAAAGCTTTAATCAGCGAAAGTTGCACAAGAAAATCGGAGATCTACCGTTATCCACGTCATAGAACAACACTGTTTGAAAACAGCTGTTACTACCAATCCCTCAAATTATATAATTCGTTACCTCAGAACTATAGAGCAATGCAGTTAAGTGTTTCCAAAAAGCAAGTAAAACATAAATTGGTAAAAGCTGAATTATATACATTAAAAGAATTCTCACGAATCATATTCATTTGATTATATTAGTTTATATGTGTATGTGTATCATGTAGTTACTGTGTTCTATAATTTTTGTGTTTGTGACTAGATTATATAAATTTTATCAAATTTTATTGTACATGTCTCCACTTTTCAATGACGAATATCAAACACGTTGGTATGTCCCTGATATTAATAAATATTATTATTATTATTATTATTATTGAAATCTATCAGATTCACCTGTTTATTTTAAAACTGGTTTTATATCGCAGGCCTGTGTTATTAGTAGGTATATACCAGAGCTGGGCCTGGAAATTAGGAATTTTCCAGAAGCGCCAGTAGTTGTATTACACTAGAGCGCTGGCGCTCGAATTTCATAAAGTTTTAAATGAAGTGATAAACGGCCCATTTCGACCTTTTAGAAGCACCAGTCTAAATTTTTCCCGTGCTACTTAAGCGCGTGGGTTGTTCGGGCAGAGAAATAAACCCTGTTATACCCGAGGCCTAAATAGAGTTTTACATACTAGTATAAACCGTAGTTCTTGTTACATTGTTTCTGTTCCGTGTTTTTACCTCGTGTACTGTAAATCGGATCTGGATTTAAAACACAGAATAGTGTTAGTATAGGAACGATATCTGCCTGTAGCGAATTCCACAAGCGAACATCTCTAGTTCGATGTCCGTCATGTAGAGGAAAGACATGTCGTCACCTTAGAACTGGTTTGCCGCATATCCAAATCGCGTCCGAGGGATTTTCGCCTCTACTGTTTGGGTCAGATTTGCCGCATGTCGCACTTGGGCGAAGCGAAACATAGTTTAGACTGAGTACTGTTTTGCCGCATGTCCAAGCCGAAAATCGATACTGTACCGTTATCCGTTTTTACGTACTTCCTTGCTGTTTTGCTTTTCAGCGTTAGGTTTGGGGTTTGGAAAGAAATAGTATTCAACTTCACGCGCAGAACAATATGAGAATGACTCATAATGTGAAATAAATAAACAAGAAATTTAAGAGTTGTGATGAATCTGAAATTAAAAAAAAAACAACTGTAATTTGTGCAACTCTTTTTCTTTTGTTATAGATGTTAGAAATACTTTCGATTTTTTTTTTAAGAAAGATTGAGTTTCAAATTATTAGATTCGAAATTTTACAAATTTAAATTTCAAATAGATTTGTTGTTCAATAAACAAAAAATTTAATTTTTAACTAAACAGTAACATTTTTCTTTAATTTTTTCTCGGGAATGATTGAACTTATTTTCTTTAAAGTTTTAGTGAACAAGATTTATAATGCTGCATACCAGTAAAAGAGTTCACAATTTTTTGTAGAATTCTTATTTATAGAAACGATATTTCTACATCAATAATCACAAATAATAGATACATTTTTAATTTTTTAAATTAAAATGTAAAAGTAATATGAAAATTAAAATTTCGAAGCAAAATCCACCTAAACATTCATAATTTATTACTAGAACGTTTACAAAAATCAACTTTTGACATAAAATGCTTGCAAATTTGAAACAGAATTGGAATGTTTCTTGACAATCATGCCTAATACATTTTTGACTTATATCTTTTAAAAAAAATTATTTCCGATTTTATAGCTATTTACAATTTACGACTTAGTTCAAGAATAAATTCCGTATTGTAATTTTACTTAAATATAACTAAATAGATGTATGTTGTTAACTTACATAAGGTACCTTACATCGAATCGAGTAATTTGTTTTTTTTTAATATGACATTGCCTTTCTTTATCATTCTATTTGTCTAACAATTATTGTTGTGCAATTATACGCGTGTAAATAAAAATAAATTTACAATAACTTATTCAACTCATTTGCCTTAACGGTCTAGTTTGTAAGACAATAACGCTATTGCTAACTCGGACGTATGGAAATTAGCCTTACTAGAGACTGAGATTAGGATATTACATATTTGGAAAAAATATTTACTCAGATATGCATGTATGCCTTTAAATCAAAAATAATGTAGTATTTATTGTGTTTCCTAGGCGAAGAAAGTTCAGCTCAACTATCTTTTTTTCTTTAATAAATTCTACATTCTATTTTTAACAAAAATGTGTGATTTTAGCCAAAGCTTCTTATTTCAGACATCAGTATGATTAGCTCACGGTGAGTTGTGATGCAACAAAATAATTTTGTAGTGAAAATAATTTGTTAGAGATGTTAAAGAAAGTAACATTTTTAAATTAAAAACCTTTATTTACAATAATGTGTTTCCTAAAAAAACATCGAATCTACAAAGCACAAATACAAAAAAAGTTTGTACTAATAGCAGTTTATTTACAATTTAATATATAGATCTTAATCGATACAATCAGCTATTCTAACTTAATTTATTAATCTTTTTTAAAATATTTTGAGAAAATTGCCTGATAAAACAATTTATCTACCTCTGGCATTACTGTTAACATAGATTGAATGTGGACAGCCTTATCTTTGAGCACAGTCTCAGATGGTCTTTCTCTAATAATTTTTATTTCACCTAACACTGAATGGTCTTTTTGGTACTTTTTTGTGTTTACACGCCGAGATGAAGTCTCCTGCAGCAAATTAACGAGTGTATCTATGTCTGAAAACTTTTGCCTATACCTAATAATTTCACAATTTTTTGTATAATGCAATAACACGACTTTACTGTAGGGAATGCTTCGGAAATTTAGCTTATATGCAACAGAACCAAAATCGAAAAAATCATTTTCACTCATTTGTAAAATTTGCAAGCGTACACTTCTTTTGGGAATTTTTTTCATCTGCTGGAGTAATGACACAGGACTATATATGTCTACGTATTTAACATATTTTTCGATTTTACTATGAACTGCATCTACTTCCTGAATATTGCCATGCCCCGGTTCCGAAAATTTTTGAGTGATGCAGTGAATCTGTTCATTTTGTTTTAAAAAATGAATAAGAGCTAGGCTCATCATTTTGTTTTTATTTTGTGCCACGCAAGCGTCAGACCATAAAATAATTTCTCTAATGTCGGGATTAGCTTTCGCGATAGCTTTTAAAATTTTAAAAACAGCACTTGCTATGTGATTGCCCGATCTTCCCGAGAGTGCTTCATGCCAAATTGCACAATATGCAGTTTTATCGTAGTTACAATGTGCTGTCA